AAACAAGAAAATGGAAAAAAGGGAGACTAAAGAAAGGGTAGTAAAACGATGCGAACGAATAAACGAACTAACGGACGAAAGAAAGACAGAGAGAGAGAGAGAGAGAGAGAGAGAGAGAGAGAGAGAGGGATGAGACTTGAAAGGGATAGAGAGAGAAAAAAAAGAAAAAGAAAAGAACGAGAGAGATAGAGATAGTGAACGTCGGTTGAATGGGAAACCCCTTCGGTCTTTGATCTAACAACCCATCCCTTTTGTTTTTTAACCGCGGACGTCGCACTGGAAATAAAAGACCTTAAACACTCTCTCTCTCTCTCTCTCTCTCTCTCTCTTTCTTTTTTTCTTTCTTTCTTCCTCCCCACCGTTCCCCTTTTTTTGTTCTTTTTTATCGTCGTTGATAGTAGTCCCAAATCGTTGGTGAAAAAAAAAGAAAAGGGAAAGAAAAACGGAACAGGGATAAGGGGAGGGGGTGGTTTTAGGACGGGAAGGAAAAAAATTTCAAAAAAATGTTTTACATTCGAAAAAGTTTCGACTTTTGTTCCCCGATTTGTCCCCGGCTCGCATTTTTTAATTCCCTTTTCAATGGTTTCTCTCTTACTTTTGGAAATATTTTTCTTTTTCTTCTTCTTCTTCTTCGTTCTTTCTTTTTTTTTTTTCATTTTATTTTTAACTTTGACTAGGATTGTAGTTGTCGTCGTGAAGAATAAAAAATGTTGAGATAGGGAAAGGTAAGAAGAAATTGTTGTCCGTTTAAATGTTGTTTGTTAACAAATGTATATGAAGTTGTTGTAAATTAATCATAATTCATAACAACCCTAACAAGTTTTTATTTTAGTCTGACGTCTATTAATCTTTTTTCTTGTTTTTTTTTCTCTCTCTCTTTCTTTTCTTGATTTGTTCCCTTTTGTACTGAGAATGAGAAAACAAAAAATGAAGAGAAAGTGTGTATAAAGTTTATGTATACCTCGTTAAGTTCAAGAAAAATGTATTCAACTTTGAAATTAACCATCCTCCTCCCCTCCACTCCCTCCCCCCCACGTGCCAGTTTCAGACTCCTTGAGTATCTTCCCTTATTCTTCTTCTTCTTCTTCTTCTTTTTTTTTCTTCTTTCCTTTTCGTTCTTTCTTTCTTTCTTTTTTCTACTTTTATTTTTTGTTTGTTTTACGCGAACTTTTATTAAGAAGGAAGAAGAGTTAAAGGGGGGTACGTTGAGATAAATGTGTATGCTTAGGATTATATGCGTACACGTGTGAGTTTGTTTTATGTGTAAAATACTTCATTTAATTGGGTAAGAAAAAAGAAGGTAAAAAAAAGGATACATTCGTGGTCGTGTAATTAATTTAATAGCAATCGATGATCTATCGATATGGTTTTTTTACGTTCCTTATAAATAAATATTTAAATATAATATATATATAAAAAAAACAAATATTAATTAATTAACATGAAGTGTTTATTTGGTGTGTATATAACCCTAGATAATTATTATTTTTATATTATAATTTAAAAAAACGTGCATTAGTATATTAATTGATATATTTTTTTAACAAACGAATATTATTAACAAAAATTCAAATTGAAATGAACAAATGGAAAATGGAAGAAAAATAATATATATATATTCGTTCGGTTAAATTGAATTGAAGATAATTACGTGGATTATTAAACGAAACGAAATGGGGGTGAGTGGGTGGGGGTGGACACAGGGGATTGGAAGAGGGTGGATCGAATAGGGCAAAGAGAAAAATAGAAAGAGAAATGTAGAACATAGCTTGTTCGCCAGGTTGTTCGCGCCTGAAGTAGAATAGGAAGTCCAATGATAGCATATATGTGTATATACATATGTGTATGTGTGTATGTATAAAGTAGAAACGATTTTCGAGGTTGTGACCAATAGTAGGGCATCGTCGTACACTATGTGGATCACTTGCTCGGAATAGCCTAACGCCGATAAAGGCACCTGGCGCTTACGTTTACCCGATCGGGTGTATATATATAAAAATATATACGTGTGTATGTGTATATTTATGTATGTATGGATTAGTATATATAGGAGCTTGACTTCGTTCAATACTTGTTTCTTAACGTCACGAGAAACATCGAAAATGTATTTACCTCTGTTATCGAAAAGAATATAATTACATATTTTAATATACTAATTATAATATATATTTATTATTATATTTAATTTTATTATTATTAAATATATATATAGAAAATTGTATATTTTAAATTATTTTGTCTTCAGATACATTTCGATCGAGAAAAGAAATTTAATAATATAATGTAATAAGTAAATTGTGTATATTTATATATGTATATTTTAATAATTCATTATTATTATTTTATTATTATAATAAATTTTATTATTATTAAATATATATATAGAAAATTGTATAATTTAAATTATTTTGTCTTCAGATACATTTCGATCGAGAAAAGAAATTTAATAATATAATGTAATAAGTAAATTGTGTATATATATATATGTATATTTTAATAATTAATAGGACTTTTATTTGAATTTGGATTTTTTTTGTTTAAATTCTCCTACAGATATAATGAAAAATTTTGTTATTATACAAATTTGAATCTACGAATAATTGTATATTTATATATATATATATATTGCAACACGATTGATCAATATTAATCACGTATATTGTTACAATTCTATCAATATAAATGATAATTTTGTTCTAAAAATATTAACAACAATCTTGCTTATCAAACAAAGTGGTCGATCTAAGCTATCATAAAAAAAAAACAAAAAAAAAGAAAAAAATAAAGAAGATCCAGGTAAACACAATATGACAATGTATTTTTAAATCAAAATTTGAAATGAATATTTAACACATCGTGTACGTTCACTAGCCGCTTAGATTAAACCTAAAATCCGATACCTTGATAAATCGTTATTTCTCTTAAGCTAAGGAAAATGTTGAAAATAAGAGAGAATGGTGGCGAAGGGGGTGGAATGGGGATTGAGAAGTTGGGGTTGGAGTGGAGGGGAAGTGGGAGGGAGGGGGTTTGTAGAAGATATAATAGATCAATAGAAAGGGAAATTTTCTCGCGTAGGTCGTGATTCGAAGTATCGGGGCGCTATCGTTAATAATGCAAGAACCACGATTGATTGGTTCGATGCATCATTCAGGTTATACATAAGTGGTTGTATTTTCTACTACGTAGTAGTAGGCAAACCAGAGAGAGAGAGAGAGAGAGAGTACTCCTTCAACCTTTTTCTATCGTGCTAAGTTAAAGTCTACCTTTCCGTACGGGAAAGAAGAAGAAGGATGACAGGTGGGCCGTACATGAAGAATTCAAACCGCTCCAGTTTCGCGTGTTCTTGCATAAATGATATGCCGGCGCTTGCGGTTAAGCGAAAACCTACTTCCGTAATTCGTGCTCTTCTTCTACTACTACTACTATTACCACACTATTACTACTACTACTACTCGGATGCAATCTCTTCTCTATATTTTTGTTTTTTCTTTTTTTTTTATTTCTAAATTTCTCACCTAATTTTTCGCGGATTATTATTCGAAATGAAGGAAACAAGAATCGTGAGTGTTTGGTTTTGTTAAGTGTACGTTCTTTTCTTTTTTTTTTTTTCTTTTTCTTCCTTTTCACAAATTGTCCCGCAGATATGTTATAACGAATAATTTTTGTTTTGTTTTCAATTAAAAATTCAAAACAAAATGAAAACAAATCAGAGGTAAATAATGATCGTCATCGTTTGTCATTCGTCTCGTCGATAAGGGGATGGTGGAAGGAAAAAAAAAAACAAATTAGAAAAGGAAAAGAAAAAGAAATTTTTCGTTGGCATTAGAAAAGGTTCGGGTGGGCAGGGGGAGTGTTTGAAATTGTACGCGTTCACGTGCAAACGTTGCCGAGGTTGCCACCGGTTTCCAACGATCACTCGAGTGCCGATATAAAACCACCCCTATACGTTGGTGTTAGTACGTTGCCGCATTTGAATCGGTCTTTGAAGTCGGGGTACTTTTTAATTGCTGAACACCAAACGTTTCCAGCTTTAATTAGAGAACTCTGGCTCGGACGAAAGGGTGAAAAACAAACTTCGGCGCCTCTGCAACATTCCCCACACACACCTTCCCATACCTTAACCCCTTTCCCTTATCCCCCCAACTAACCAACCTCCCACTTCTTCTCGTTCAAACTACCCCTCGTCACATTTTCACATCCCCCTTTTTTATTTTGGTTCACCGCGATGTTCTTGGTGAACGGATGCAATTTTCAAGCACAGTTTAATCCCCAAAAACTTTTCCCTCGAAGATTTCGCCAGGAAGAAAATTTTGTCATGATTCTGAGTCATTTTCTCAAGTGATCAAGTGATCTAAAGTTTTTTCCGAAATGGATTGATTAACTTACTTTTAATTATTTATCGTAAAAGGATATTATTACGTTTATATATTATTGTATATGTTAGGTCTATCAGAAAGTTCTGTTCGTTTTTGAATTGAAATAAAATAACACACAATTTTTATACATTTAATCATATTTTTTTTTATTGTAGAATATACTTTCCATCTCGTTATTTGTGATTTCTTGTCAACGTGGTGGCAACTTGTAAATGTTATTTTTTAAAAAATGATGTGTATATGAATTGAAAGTTGAAGTGACACTATTGGACAGAACTTTTCGGTGTAGACCTAATATATATATATATATATATATATATGTGTGCCCATAATTATGAAAGTGGTCTAAGTGAAAATGAAAAAAAAATGAGTATATTATTTATTTCACAAATCACATTATTTTAAACTAAATTAATTCAATATAATTTTCACGATATTATGAAAAATGAACTGTTAGATAATGTTTGTTATTTCATTATTATATAAAATTCATTTAATGTTCATATGTAATTCTTTAAATATCTCGAAACAATATATGACTTAAATATATATATATATAGATATTTTTGCGAAAAAAGAAAAAATAAATAAAAGGTTTCATTTATGTATTTCCTTTTGTTTCAGGTAAGCGAGAAATAAATAAGGAAAAAAAAAAAAAAATCACGAACGTTTCCCTTTCGCGGAACGATGATGAACGAAGTTATTCGAGCGATAAGGTAAGGAGCGTGCCGCCGCCAGGTGAACCCTCTTATCTTAATTACTTAATGATCATTAAAGCGGCGCCTGTCACGCGAAACGTAAGAGAAGTGAGCGCGAACGATCTAAACGCACCGGTTTTACTCTCCTATGTATTATTTACGTACCTATATAAATACATACGGAAATAATATGTATACATATATGCACATTACATATGTATGTACGTATGTATGTATGTATGTACGTATGCAAGTATAGTATATTGTATATGTATGAGTTCAAGTAATTAGTAAGTAAACGTGTCTATAAATTTGCTGAAGTTTCTCGTTTATTATGAATCGTTTAAGAAAGAAAATGAGAAAATAAGAGAGAGAGAGACAGAGAGAGAGAGAGGGTAAGAGAAAATAAAGTAGCTAGAAAATGAGAGATAACAAACGATAGAACGAATTAAAGAGAGAGAGAGAGAGAAAGAGATATATGTAAATTTAATAGATTGATAGAGACAAATTTGAACGATCATTTTAAACGATTCTTTTTCATTATACTTTTTATATTAAAAAGTATAACAATAAATATAAATGTAT